AAAGGACTTGTGTCGCTAAAGTTTCGTGGGAATGAAGCTACGGAAAATCAACTAACGAACGGAGACGTAACAATGCGTTAGCTCCCTCCTTAGTTAATATGTTTTTTTTCTTTTAACTTTCTTTCAGTTTAGTTTAGGCGCAGAAAATCGCTCAAGTAAGCCACTCAACTTTCCATTTCTCAGGTGTACACGAGACATGAATTCACTAAATGGCAATCGGCCGTTTTTTTATTATATTTTTTTACAGAAAAGATAGCTCTTAAAGTGGTGAAAGATATGGTTGTCTTTTCTCTTAAGCGAATCAGATAATGGCTAGTGGCCGCTACGCCCTTCTATCGCAGTAGACAAAATTGACATATACAAAGTGGAGTCATGCTCAAACCTGGCTTTTTGGCTTGTAAACCCAGGTTTGCCCCCCACATAAGAATTGCCTTGTCTGGTTGATAACAGCTTTTAACTTTAACTGTGTTTTTCTTGATTTACTTTGAGTAGTGTGTAGTTAACTTAAACTTTCACAGAAGGTCTAAATACTTGGATTTAAAAAATAGTTTGATTATTTGAACGTTAGGGTATAACGTTTGAGCTGTGATTTTGGTTTAAATGGTAACATAATTTCTGCTGTATTTTGATTTCATTCCTCTTAGTCGCGCGCTCAATTCCTTTTTTTTTGGCCGCACCTTTTTTTCACACCTAAGGAGTTTTTGATTAGATATCATGACTTTTTTGTCAATACACACCAACAAACCATAGCAAGTAAGGAAGTGGCACTTGAGAATACCCAACATTAGCTTTAAGATCGCAACCCTATTATTCGAAGCAGACCTATACTTTACAGACTCAACCAGATTATTTAAATATATGGTGGTAGTTTTCCCTCTCTGTAACAGTGTTAATAGCTTCCTTTATAGTAATGCCATGGAATTTAGATTAACAGTTTTTTGTCATCACCCCATATGCAATCGGAATAGCCGTATCAAGCAAAATTATTTATGTTAATTGCGTAAGCTAATATCACGTGACGCTAAAAGCTCTTTAATTAGGATAATTTCATAAAATTTAATAAATTTTTGCTGAAAAGTTAGCAATGAATAATAACAGATTCTTTTGAAAAGTTCAGCTAAAAATTGCTAATCTAGTTTGCTTGGCCTAACTAAAACTTGTGCATCTGCACATCCTTTCACCGTATAGTTTTGCTGCTCTAAATCAGCCGTCCTTAGTCCGATTGCCAGGAAACTAAAAACGGTCCACTTTTACTCTTAGGTGACGCTGTAGTAAAAATTTTAGACTGATAGCTCACGTGAATTGTTGCGTAGGTGCGCGCAAAACATTTTCGTCAAATTTAGCGGTTTTTGCTGAATAGCTTTACACATTTTGGCTTATATTTACACCAAACGAGACTCCTATTTGTAGGTTGAAAAGATTTATCACTGTACCAAATTTGAAAACAATCCATAAAAGTTAAGTATGTTTTTTCTATCAAATAAATTTCTGTATTTTGGTGCGAAGAAACAAACAAAAAAATAAATAAAAAAAGAAGGAAGAAACTCAATCAAAATT